GGGGGGAGGAGGTATACGACACAGTTTCAAGTTTGTAGTTTCTGTGCCAACGCTTCCTCTACCCCGTCTCTTGTAAATAAGTAATTTCAATTACCGCCTACTACACTTTAGATTTCGATCCGTTGGTGTACACGCGCTTATCTATCCAATGGGATTTATGGCATAGGTTCGACACTCCTTACTGACTTTAACTCACACGTTTTTAAAACAAGTGTATGCAGGTGTTTTTTTTTTTTGGTTTTTTTTTACTTTTGAGCTGTTAACAAACCAATCTGTTCCTCTGGAATACAATTGGATTTACTTAAAAAATCAAACAATTTCGTTGTATTTCATGTGCTCCAAAGTAGCTGACAGGACTCTTCCAGCACTCTCCAACTACAATACATGACAACAGGATACCGAATGGCCCCTTGTGATACTCTTCCCTATGGCGTGGGAAGGAACACACGGCTTCTGCTTTACCATGGTAAAAATGCCGATTCGACAAGGATGCTTACTCGTCCCACGATATATTCCTATAGTATAAATAGCAGGACGAGGTCGACTCGTTCCCATCGTACAATCTATACACGACACGAGGATGTCGGGTCGTCTCTAACAATAGCTACAATCTTCAGACAGTACAATGTATAATACAAGAGGGGGAGGCGGGGCGTCTCGTCCTACAGTATATTACTACGGTACAAGACAAAAGGATGCTGGTTCGTCCCACTGTTTATTCCCCCTTCAGCACTTTACACGAGGAAGCCGACTTATCTCACGATATCTTCTGCTTAGGTACAAACCACAATGAGACCGACTCGTCCAAATGTACAATCTCCCTACAGTACACACCATACATGATGTGTCGACTTGTCCCACGGTGAATTCTCTCGCCATAACATTACACCAGGATGCCAGCTCGTCCTAGGTTTTAATATACTATGAACCAGACATGAGGATGTCGACTCGCCCCAGACAACTTTTCCTTAACGTACAAGAGAATGACATGTTAAGTTGTGCTCTAGAATACGGTCCTTCGACCTGTCCGTCCCGTCTCCCGTGTGTCTGTATACCCGACAGTCCGTCCCGTCTCTCGTTAGTCTCTATACCCGACAGTCCGTCCTGTCTCTCGTGAGTCTCTATACCCGACAGTCCGTCCCATCTCTCGTTAGTCTCTATACCCGACAGTCCGACCCGTCTCTCGTTAGTCTCTATACCCGACACTCCGTCCCGTCTCTCGTAAGTCTCTATATCCGACAGTCCGTCCCGTCTCCCGTTAGTCGCTATACCCGACAGTCCGTCCACGGACGTCTCTCGTTAGTCTCTATACCCGACAGTCCGTCCCCGGACGTCTCTCGTTAGTGTCTATACCCGACAGTCCGACCCGTCTCTCGTTAGTCTCTATACCCGACAGTCCGTCCCCGGACGTCTCTCGTTAGTGTCTATACCCGACAGTCCATCCATGTTTTTGGCACCAACAGACCCTGCGTAATGGCTTTGTTGGAACTCCCAAATGGAGACGTAGCGATTGGAGAGTAGTTTTATGTTTTCCGTATAGATGGTATTTTGACCTGTTCTCTCTGCATCAAGCCTATAATCAATATACACTCAGCGGGACCCCATACACAAGTTCACACACATTCGAGAAACAGTGTAAATGAAATCACCCAATTGGAGCTCGTTTTCTCTTGTGACCAGACAGATGGACTAACATTGTGTTTTGGGAGGTTCTGTGCCTCTTTATAACAAGTTTCCCTTCCGTTTCTCGCCATAGGAAGATATTGATGTTGTCGGAATTTAAAAA